TTGGTATAGTTTGATAGCCAGCTCCATAAGTTTTAATTCGATATAGGGGTTTAGGTATCTACAGCTTAAACTGCACGCGCTACATCGCTTGCGCGCGAGACTCACCTGAAGGTATACTGTAACCTTAATTTAGCGCTGTTAGTGGTATGGAATACATTTTCCAGGGAGAACATTGCTGAACTGTCCAATTGTTTCTGGCATAGAACTTAGTATCGTTTCAAGAAAATAGCGAGGAAAACACAGGGCTGAGGCAAAAAAAAGCTATAAATATTTCTAAATATCCCTAAATTTTCTAAATATCTTAATATTTCCTAAATGTCTCGACAGTTCTAAATATCCAATAAAATATCCGGGTATTTCTGGAAAGACCTATCCGAGTAGCAGGGATTTTCTTTGTTCCTGCACACACGCACCCAATGCAACTAGACTAAACGTGATGCTTGAGCAAAAGCTGGGCATATGTTGAAAGATGTCAAGGTGCAAATTTGTTGTATCCATATGCATGCTCATCTTATGAGAATTTTTTTTTTTTTCATTAAAAAAATAATAATAATAAATGAAAGAAACATTGGAACGCGTTATGCATTTAGGCTGATTTGATATACGAAGTTTGACTCCAATTTTTCTAGAGATCTATTCAGTTTGTCTATTTAGTTAAATTACTTTGAATTTTCTCTTCTCGTTCGTGTTTTTACGAAATAGTTGTTAAAAAGACTAGCTGGAAGGCCACTAATCCTGAAATCAAATCAAGTTGGCTTGAATGATTGACAAAACTTGAAATTTCATGTAGTCAGCTGGTATGGTAGATCTTTGCATCGTATTAGTATCGCTTACAACGGCATGTCCCGTGACATTTCTGTTGTGGGCTGTTCCGAAAACGCGGAGTGCGGAGTGCAGAGTGCGGAGTGCGGAGTGCGGAGTCTAAAAAAAAATTTAAATTTGTGTTTTTTTCAATTTTTGTTTTTTAATTTTTATTTTTAATTCTTTTTTTATTATTATTTTTTAGACTCCGCACTCCGCACTCCGCGTTTTCGGAACAGCCTTTGTCATTGCCATATTAAGAAAAGAATCTTCACTTCTATTTGCACGGTTTGCCTTCATAGACTTTTATACCTTTACGTTACCTGTACCAGAAACGGTCAGAAACATTCGTCGCTGGGCTTTATTGAGAAAAACTGTTTTTCTTTCCCTCATTCTGTATGTGTGTTCCAGTCGTCTTATAAAAACTTACGTGTACCCGATATCGATAAAATATATCCTTGTCAACTCCTAGGTCTCTGGGAAAGAGGAGAAAAATAATTTATTACATATAAAGAAGGTGGGATTTGGTAGTAGACTGATTTCTGCGCCGCGCGCGGTCGCGTTTTCACTGCGACAAAAGGCTGGTCAGTGCTCGATCATCGACATGCATAATTTTTCCGAGAATTCAGCATACGTGGATATTGAATGCCGCTAAAATCAAATCAAATTATTCCAAATTTAGTAATTACGAAAAATTTTATATGAATTTATTAGAAAAAAAAAATTGATTGACAAATTATAATTGATTGATTTCCCATTGCCCTGTCAGATGCTTGAATTAGATATAAGTAGAGGTAATATTTTTCTTTCGAGAACGGTCTTTCTTACCTTCCAATTCTCTTTGGCTACTGTAGGCAAACAAACATATGGATGTTCTATTCGTATGGCAGGTCGATACCTCACAATCACCTATCGGATAATCGTGTGAAGATATTAATAATTTATTAACCCTGGATTTTGAGCATAAACACAAAGATGGCGGCCGGTGTTGTGACGACGTCTGTGAATTATTCCTCTTCTCAGCCATCGGCTGCTCCTTTAAATCGGTCGCAAATGGGAGGTTATGATGCAAACTTTGTAAGTCCCATCTCTGCGGATTATTTGTGTCCGATTTGCCAACTTGCTTTTCGAGATCCCGTTCAAACGAGGGATTGCGGACATCGATTCTGTGAGTCTTGCCTTGAGCCAATTTTGAGGTGAGTAATTTGGAGACATCGGTCTTTTATGAAATATGAGACCGGCATTCTTAATAATTTATTTAAATTACTTTCTAGAAAACCTCCAGCGTTTTGCCCGATTGATCGGAGAACTTTAACGAGAGAGAAGGTAAGATTTCAAACACATATGGAAGATAAAAATTGAGCACTGTGAAAGCAGTGCCATTTGTTTTCTGCGGCAGTTATGGCAAATGTTTGTAGCTGTAATAGTAATATTCATTATGCTCTTCTGGTTCCCCTTCTTTCGCCATAATTTCACGTAACAGTAGGCTTTTATAGCCGTATGTGGCAACGAAGGGATGAATCTAAAAATTGCTTCGATCCAATGTTTCTTTGACCCCAAGGGGATATCTTCGGACCATACAACTGACAATGCAATTTGCGACACTTAATTAATCCACGGCGACCACATTTCTCCAAGAGTGGTCTTTGTTTCACGCTATAGAACCGCAGCAAGCGATGAATTACTCGTTCTGTACAACTTTTTGGGGAGTTTTTACGTGTAAAAAATATAAATCTGAATATGATAGGTTTAACCTCTCATGAGTAATGAATCATATAGTTTCCCGTGATTTCTTCGCGTCGACAACAGGAAATATCACGGAGTAAACTTAATTTGCGTGACTGCTCACAAATAAATACAAGATACAAGCCACAAAAACTGCTGGAACGGACACGAAATTCATACTGTTTGGCAGAGTTTTTTCACGATGTAACCTCCAGACGATCGATTTAATTTCATTATCGTTCGCGTGACCCTTATTCTAGTTTTTCGTGATTAAAATTAAAAAAATGCGGCCTTTTGCTCTCTGATCTTATTGCTTAATTGCTTTAACAATAGCATTTCCTTTGTGATGATTGATCTACGACGATTATAATTCTGCCTTGGAGAGCCAAAGTAAACAATGTAATCTTTTATTTGCTCGCCAATGTGAGCTAGTAGCTACGTTACGTAGGTCGCCATATTCATTCCAGTTTCTCTCCACACGTTTGAAGGTTCATGAGGTGCTTAGCTATTTTTAAAGTTAGAATAACTTGTTAGGATTTCAAGTGATATCGGTTTATTCATGCAAATATCTATTTTTAAACTAATTAAAAGAGCCTTGCACAATAAATATTATTTTACACGTTAATCAGATTAAAGGTGGTTTCAGATAACAGAATTTTGAGGAGTTTGGGCTAGGGACAAGTAATTATATGATACTTCAAGGATCGAAACCAGCATGTTGGAATAATAAGATAACATTATTAATATATCGCAAATTAGCTCTTTAACAAAGCCTGCAAATTTTGTTGGCAGTGTGACGAACCAGTGTAAGCAGCTTTCTTCAAACTCAGTGCCAATCACACAGAAACAAACAACATAGGACTGACTTCTTTTCCCAGTTGTGTCTTAACATTGTTAAGGGCCCATTAACCGATCTNTTGGGGTTCAGGCTCAACATTAGTTCTTATTTACCTGGTGCTTAGTGAGAAATCAGCCTGATAATGTAAGGCTTAAAATGTTCTTAAAATCTGTTTCAGCAATACTATACATGTACATTATATATCACTAGTGGTTTAATTAACATACATAAGAAAATAGCCCTATGTAAATATGTGTGCTGATTTTTTTAAAATCGTGTTCAATTAAGCAATTAGATTATGAACTCAAGATTTCAACTATCAGCAATCACACACAGAAATTGAGAGCGAATGATCTAATTGTTTTAGTGTAAATCTACTAGTCGTTTAAAACTTTATTTAAATACTCTTCACAGACACCTTGAAAATGCAGAGAAGTGGCCGACATTCTGTTAACAAGCGCACACTACTACACTACTCTGACACTATCTATCACAGAATTGGTAGTGATTAGCATAGCCAATCAGAGAACGACATTAGTGATACAACTCTTGCACAAGCTGTTGACGTAATGATGGCACGAGCAAAGAGAATTTACATTTTGATGATCAAAGTAAACAAGTTGTTTTCTTTGGTTTGGTCACAGAATTTTCTAAATGGAATAGAAAACATTTTCTCTGTTTCTGTTTTATGGGCTTTCCCTCATATTGTCCTGGAGATTTGGTGACAGGAGACCGGGAGATTCAGTCTGTATCCGGGAGACTCCTGGATAATCTGGGAGAGTTGACACAGATGCACTTATACCCCCTACTTCTAAACTAGCTGGATCTCCTGAAGTGCACTTGTTAAGTCTACTTAGAGGGGATTTCTCTTAAGTATGCAAATCAACAACCCCCTTGTGCCTGCATCTGTTTACAAAAAGTTTGGCCTTCAGTCACATCAGCCAGCAGTAACAGCTGCTGATTTTGTACCATCCTACCTGGGAGTTGATTGAGCCCTTAGTTTGTGTTGCAATTATTTTTTATAGCAACGTAGACAACAGAATTGTCATAACTGAGGTTCCATTAGGGGGTGGCATTTGAGTATTCCATATCCCATTAATGTTTGGCCTAAATCTCCTATATCACGTTAATTCCAATTCCAAACATTATTAATTTTTGTACTCAATATCTTGGGATATCTGTTCTAAAGGTTTCATATCCCATAAATTTCTCCCCAAATATCCTGTATTCAGTTATTTTTTTACCTATAAATACCCTGGATCCCAAAAAACACCAGTAGGGCTTCGTATATAGAGAGACTTCCTCTAGACTAATTAGTGAACTGTTTATATTGAGTAGATGACATTTGTTGAGACCTGTGCAATTATATCAAGATGTTTGCTTTCCCTGAGTGACAATTATTAAAGCTCCCCAGCGTGGTGTACTAAAATCCTCACATTATTTGGTGCCAAATTCTAATTCTACATCTTGAAGGACTGACCAGCAACCTGTTGATGTTGTTTTTGGTTGTATAAAAATGATTTTTATTATTTGGTGCATGCTGTTTGTGTTGGGAAAAATAAATCTCTCTTAATTGTCTAAGTTGTTAGACACTATCTGGCATATCTGATGCAGATGATTAGGACTGCATATACAGCCCCTTGTACTACACCAACTATTTCGAGGATTTTAATGTTACCTAGTTTTGTTGTCAACAGGTCATGTGGCAAGTTAACTAGGCATTCATAACCTGTATGCACTTTCTGGGAAACTGGGTCAGACTTTAAGTCTGATCCAAAAAATTTCATTTCAATGTTGTTTAGTTTGATGGCAGCTTTCAACTCTACAAGCCAGTGGGATTAGATTGCCCTTATCCAGTCTGGTCTCTTGTGCAATCTATACTCATATAAACATCTGTTGTTGGTTAAATGTGGTGACTGCAAAGTCTATGACTTCGTTTTCTGTCGTCTACTTAGTCACAGTTTTGTCCTTATTGTTTCCAAACAGCTTTTTTTTTGTTTCAAGGCCAAGGTCCAGAAGAATCATATATTTTTACTTAATTTCCTTGGGTCAGTTTTGAATTCCAAGGTCAGTGTTTTTTATCTTAAATCTGATAAAAAATCTGGTAAGCCAATATCCAAGTTTGTATTTCACTCTCCAGTAAATTGTAATAACAGAAAGCTGGCGGGATAATGCAACAACTTAGCTGTGTTTTTAATAAGGGCAGTTCTCATTTCAAATGCTGGAAAGCAATTCTGATCACAGCATGGTTGTCTGAGAAATTGTAGGAGCTTTAGCTTCAGAATATTTCTTCCTAAAGGTAACAGCATGTGTTCTGTTTTGATTGTGTCTTTCGTTGTTGACTTTCTAAGGCACAATTTTAATAGAAAATGCAAATGTCTGGTCTTTATCATTGACATAGAAGGCAGCAATCAGCAGACTTTCCATTGTTTGTTTTGTCTATGAAAAAACCCACAAAATCTGTTATTAAACAACCATTCATTGAGAGAGATTATTTCACAAGTGCCAAAAAGGAGTACTGTACGTTGATCAAGGGAATTGAGTAATTGTGGACTTTGGTTAACATTTATCTGTAAGTATGGTCTGCTGTATCCAACATATCTGAATTTTGTTTTTAAATTGATTTGAACTGCAAAATAATTTTTATCTAGAGTTAATTTCAAACTAAATTGCACAAATTCTGCCAACTTATGATTTAATATGAAATACTAGCTATATAGACCAGTGATTTTACTTCAAGAAAACAGATTCGCACGAAGCTAAATAGATTGGTCGAGTGATTGTCACTGCAAAATGCACTAGTGTGATAGGGCACAAATTATTAGGAGCACTATTAGTTAAATATTATTCTTTCAACATTTTTGCACTAAACTGTATTTTGGTTGTGTTTAGTGTTACATGCATGTAGGTAGTTTATACTTGGGCTAATATTATGACCAAAGCTTAGCCATCCTCCTTAAATATGCGACATCACTGCATTCTCTTATCTTTTAGGTTTTAGGAATTCAAAAATCATGCATCCTGGGTGACATAACAGTAATAATTCCTTTACTGCCAATAATTATTATTGGCAGTAAAGGAATGCCCTTCCTCAGCTGAGGTTCACACTGCATACTCTTTCAATTTGAAGCTTGCAAAATTTTAAATTTCAGTTAGTGGGCTTATTCTCCATTTGTGACCCCTAGCACACACTGTCAATTGAAAAAATTGCAGTGCAGTGACAATACAGAATAAGCTATGCTGCTACTAAGTTATAATAATTATATACCTACATTATTATATTTGTCGCTCCTGTGCATCTGTTTTAATGATCTTCTTAAGATTGTCATTAACCTTTCACCATTGAGGCCTTAAAAGAGGATTAACAGTCTGCATTATTATATTACACACAGTACAATGTGCATTCATGGTGTGCTTTAAACATACTTGTTTGGTCATGCAAACCCCGCACACATCAATGGTTCATGCTAGGTCTTATGCATGGGTTTCCTATGATGGGCTAACAGCTTGTTGAAGGGGAGTACGTATAGCGCCACTCCTAATTGCTTCAAGTTTACTTACAGAAACCAGAAATAAGTGCTAATCTTGTTGAACCACTTGGTTCTTCCAATCTAGTGGATTGATCCAAACCTTACATAATTTTGAGTACAAAATTAAGTTGGTTTACTTATTCAGATATGGTGGCACTGTGATGTAACATGGTGGGCTATGTAGCAAGTGGTTTGGGTTCAAGCCCTCACTGGGGTCCTTGCATTGTGTTCTTGAGCAAGATACTTAACTCTCAGTGTCTCTCAACACCCAGGTGTGTAAATCATGGGAACTGGCAAATTTAATCCTGGGGTAACACTGCAATGGACTAGCATCCCTTCCAGGGGGAGTAGAAATACTTCTAGACACTTCATGCTACAGAAACCAGGATAAGTGCTGGCTGTATAGGGCACTGGGCTGGGCCGCTGGCCTGGGCCATTAATAGACCACTTTCGACATATTAAAATTCAGCTTGATTGTGAGGCCTAGAGGACAAAAACAAAAGAAATGAATATAAACATGGTCATTCAATTTCCTTTGTTTGTGTCCTCTAAGCCTCACTGCCAAGCTGAATTTTAATATATCGAAAGTGGTCTATTGACCTGACACAGACTTTACTTCATTCAGATGTGAATCTGAAGCAATTACATACAAGCAATAAACTTGTTTTCCATTTCAGGTGTACCCTGATAGAGCGTGTAAAAGAACAGTGCTGTCATTAACAGTGAAATGTCACAACAGTGGTAACGAGTGTGACTGGACAGGAGAACTTATAAACCTTCCTGTAAGTAAACAAAGGTTCTTCATCAGTACACTTTCTAGTTTATACACTTTGTGGGGCAAATCTGGTGAAACAAGTCCAGATTTGAAATCATGCTTAGACCAAGGAAAGCAAGTTGTGGAGTACCTAAGGAAAAAAAAGAGAAGTGGTGAGGTTTTAGTAAAGATATGATTTAACACCCAAAACAATATCCATTCAAGCTTTCCACTAGAATGGACATCCAGGCATCCTGTGGAAGCCCACTTCTTAAGGAAAATCATTTTTATTACTTTCCAATGTTTGCTTTATAAATAATTTGTTTGTTTGAGCAGACCACATAGCTCAGTTTGGATGCTCACTTTTCAAATCCTGATGAAAAGCCTGTACCCACTTCTCACCTAATTAAAGAGATGTTTCATTTCTTTCAGACTCACCTGGAAAATTGTAAACGAGTTCCCATAAAGTGCATTAACAACTGTGGAAGAACAGACATACCAAGAGACCAGGTAAAGACAATTGTTGCAAAAAAAGTAAAGCCTAATGTGTGAATTAGAAATTGTTCGAATCTGCAAACTTCACAGTAAATCTTGTACAGGTTTTTCCTAGACTAATTCTAAAACTGTTCCATCTTAGCTGGAGATGGACACCGTAGGCCAGGGCTCGACATTAACTTCACAACTTACTAGCCTAGTGGCTAGTGATAACCTGTTACTAGCCAAAGAATGTTTTTGCTAGCCAAGCATTGTGGTTGGCCACCTTATCACATGAACTGTTTGCAGCAGATTTATTTCACAATTTGGAGGTGCGCATATTCAGCGACTCTTAAATTCGGTGATTTTGCAAAAATTTTTCGTTTTATGAGTAACATATTTAATTTATTTCCTTGGCAATGTTACTTAAACATGTCCTTGAATTTAGTAAACTGACTTTATCAAAGGTACAATAACGTCAAAAGTAACAAAACCGCAATGGCGTGACTATATGTCAACAGTAACATAATGTGTTAGGTTCGCAACACTTATTGTTTGTGTCACTTTAATTTCGCGATTTTTTGTAAATCGTGAAATTTGCAAAATTAACGTGTCACGAAAATTTCAGGTAGGGTCAATAACAGAATTACTAGCAAGACTTGTCTTGATAATGTTGGTAATTATATGGTACTTAAATCAGTTTCCTAAAAGTTCCAGTTCCCGAAAAGATTTTCAGGACTCTGTTTTTCGTTGAGACTTCCTTGGAAAAACATTGACACCCCAAGATGTCATTACAAAAACTGTCGAGACGTCTTCAGAGAAAGACGCCGTAGTAATGTTTCAAAAGCAAAACAACTATCTATTGGCGGAATTTGACTGCTAGAGACGGCTGATTTAAATGTCGGAGGAAATGAATCTTTCTCCTCTAATTATTTCTGTAGTGGTAAGTTTTATCATTATGCACATGACGACAAATCACCTACTGTATGTATTGTTACGCTAAATGAAATGTTATTCCTTTACAGTTCTGCACGATTTTGCGCATGATTTTATCAGGAAGCTCATGTTTTGTTCTACTAATTTCATAACAAGCAAGAGCACTGATGTGTGCGTTCAGAAGAGGCTGTCGTGTTTGTCAAATATTTCTTTCAATGTAATAAACATGTTCAGTTCCCTGTTTACGAACCACACAGCAAAAAGTAGGCAAACTTCAGTTTGCATACGTGTTGAACAACACGTGCCCGATAACATGATACGTCCACAATGAAATTCTGACCTTGTTTCTGAGAAAAGTATTAATTTTGTGTTTGTCTTCCTTGAAGAAGACAGAAACTAGTTCAGCCTATTTCATTTTGTTTATTAGCCAAAGTGGCTAGTGGAAATTGAAAACCTACTAGCCAAAACTAAATTTCTACTAGTCTGTGGCTAGTTGGCTACTGTTAGTGTCGAGCCCTGATNACTTTATCAAAGGTACAATAACGTCAAAAGTAACAAAACCGCAATGGCGTGACTATATGTCAACAGTAACATAATGTGTTAGGTTCGCAACACTTATTGTTTGTGTCACTTTAATTTCGCGATTTTTTGTAAATCGTGAAATTTGCAAAATTAACGTGTCACGAAAATTTCAGGTAGGGTCAATAACAGAATTACTAGCAAGACTTGTCTTGATAATGTTGGTAATTATATGGTACTTAAATCAGTTTCCTAAAAGTTCCAGTTCCCGAAAAGATTTTCAGGACTCTGTTTTTCGTTGAGACTTCCTTGGAAAAACATTGATACCCCGAGACGTCATTACAAAAACTGTCGAGACTTCTTCAGAGAAAGACGCCGTAGAAATGTTTCAAAAGCAAAACAACTATCTAAACAATACTGCAAACCGTCGTTGGTGGAATTTGACTGCTAAAGACGGCTGATTTAAATGTCGGAGGAAATGAATCTTTCTCATCTAATTATGTCTGTAGTGGTAAGTTTTATCAGTATGCATATGATGACAAATCACCTACTGTATGTATTGTTATGCTAAATGAAATGTTATTCCTTTACAGTTCTGCATGATTTTGGACATGATTTTATCAGGAAGCTCATGTTTTGTTCTACTAGTTTCATAACAAGCAAGAGCACTGATGTGTGCTTTCAGAAAAGGCTGTCGTGTTTGTCAAATATTTCTTTCAACGTAATAAACATGTTCAGTTCCCTGTTTACGAACCACACAGCAAAAAGTAGGCAAACTTCAGTTTGCATACGTGTTGAACAACACATGCCCGATAACATGATACGTCCACAATGAAATTCTGACCTTGGTTTTAATTTGGTATTAATTTTGTGTTTGTCTTCCTTGAAGAAGACAGAAACTAGTTTGGCCTATTTCATTTTGTTTACTAGCCAAAGTGGCTAGTGGAAATTTAAAACCTACTAGCCAAAACTAAATTTCTATTAGTCTGTGGCTAGTTGGCTACTGTTAGTGTTGAGCCCTGATAGGGGTAGAAAAACAGAGAAAATTCTGCTTGGAAGAAGACGGTTATACCTGCATAATAACCAAATGGCTTCTCCCCATTCCAAAAATCTTTGTTGAGCATAACATGCCTTCAACAGCCCAGTTAATTTTCCAAAGAAATGACTTGGTGATAATTCTTTGTGACAGATGTCAACACATGTGGACGTAGACGGGGATTGTCCTCTGGCTATTGTCCCATGTCAGTACACCGACATTGGCTGTAAATTTAAGGTGAGAGCGACATGTTACAGATGTTACATACAGTTGAGCAGTTATTTTAACTACCGTAGCATATTCCAGCATAAACAACTTGAAAGTGAATCCTTAAATGAAAAGACAATGCAGATTAATCAGCTCAAAATGAGAGAGAGGATACAATTTTTTTCCAACATTAATATTGTTTTAATTTGTCAGGATCTGTTCTCAGTGCCAGAGTTGCAATTCTTTTGGTCAGTACCAGAGATCACACCTTTTGGTAGATTCTAATTCAAAAGCTTCTAATTTATGGTCTTCTTGTCACTCTGCTTAATCTGATTGGCTTACCACTGAGATTGAGCACTCTGCACTTGCTCAAGAAAATCGGAACTAGCCTGGCAGTTTTGATGCATGGTACTGACCAAAGATCCTGGCCTGAGGGGATGGATCCTGGCCTGGTTTCCTTAACAGTCTGTCTGTACTTGAATACTCTTGACTGNTTTGACAGATGTCAACACATGTGGACGTAGACGGGGATTGTCCTCTGGCTATTGTCCCATGTCAGTACACTGACATTGGCTGTAAATTTAAGGTGAGAGCGACATGTTACAGATGTTACATACGGTTGGGCAGTTATTTTAACTACCGTAACATATTCCAGAATAAACAACTTGAAACTGTATCCTTAAATGAAAAGACAATGCAGATTAATCAGCTCAAAATGAGAGAGAGGATACAATTTTTTCCCAACATTATTATTGTTTTAATTTGTTGGGATCTATTCTCAGTGCCAGAGTTACAATTCTTTTGGTCAGCACCAGAGATCACACCTTTTGGTTGATTCTAATTCAAAAGCTTCTAATTTATGGTCTTCTTGTCACTCTGCTTAATCTGATTGGCTTACCACTGAGATTGAGCACTCTGCACTTGCTCAAGAAAATCGGAACTAGCCTGGCAGTTTTGATGCATGGTACTGACCAAAGATCCTGGCCTGAGGGGATGGATTCTGGCCTGGTTTCCTTAACAGTCTGTCTGTGCTTGAATACTCTTGACTGAAGAGGGAGGCACATGTGACAGAAAACTACTTTGTCCAAGAGCACAGTTCATTGATAACATCCAGAGCTCAAATCACGGCATATTAACCATCAGGGTGCCATTCATCATGCAAGTTGTGTGGCAAAAAAAGTTTTTTTTCTTTTGATGGACACATAATTTTCTTGCAGTAAAGGAACTTGAAAATTGTTTGACATATATAGTGATTTGGTTTATTTATACTCATTATTCACTGATGTTCTTTTGTACAGGGACGGCGTAATGAGATGGAAAAACATGCTCAAGACAATATGCAAGTTCACTTGGATCTGGCCCACTTAAGAATAAGAGAACTTGAACAGAGACAGGAGTTTGTATGCACAAATGGAAAATTCCTGTGGAAGATCTCAAACTACTCACAATTATTTCAGCAATCTGCCACAAAGAAAGAGAAAGAAAAACTTTGCAGTCCTCCATTTTACACGGGACAGTATGGCTACAAGCTACGAGCGGAGGCTTTCCTTAATGGCCTTGGACAAGGGAAAGGAACACACCTGTCCCTTTACGTTGTCATTATGAAAGGAGAATATGATGCCATACTTCCATGGCCATTTCAACAGCGAGTGGACTTTGTTCTGATTGATCAAGATGATGACATGGCCGTACGACAGAATAAAGTTTGGAGGCTCACTTGTGATAGAGACAGTGATTACTTTAAGAGGCCAAACAAGGCGAAGAGTCTTGGATTTGGTTGCCCTAAGTTTGTTTCCTTGGATACACTCAGAACTAGAAACTATATCAGAGATAATACAATCTTCATAAGAATTGACGTGGAGCCACTGGATGCATCCTGAAAATACTAATTGATCTTCAGTATACAGCTTACTATTCATAACTTGCATGATGAATTTGTTATTTGCTTCTAGAAAACTGTTTCTGCAAATGTAAAGATGGTTGAGTGGTTGACAAAACAAAATTTAAAAAAATTTATGGGACGATAAGTATCTGTGTGAACTCTCCTGGAATTCTCCTGGATACAGACCAAATCTCCTGCTCTCCAATACAGGTCACCAGATCTCCCTGATATGAACTGGAAAGTGCTTGAAGTACCTTTTCACACCTAATGTGTCCTATTTTTGGCATTTCTGGGGTACATTTTTGGAACATTTGATGCTTGACTGAATTGATGATGCCAAACTGATGATAACAAACTAAGTTGTTAGTTTAGTGTCAAGAAAGTAAAATTGGCAGTCTCACATATTTCAATTTCTTTTAGGTTGTCATCTCTGTATAAGTTAATTTTTTCATGCTGTTATATCATTTTAAATTTCAGAAACAGTTTTCTTGTTACCTGGCATTTTGCCATACAAGACCATTACTAAGAATAACCTTGATATATGTCATTTAAATGATCTATTTTAACAAAGGGTAACATATTTGCAGGTCTACCTGCTAGTACTTACTTTATTTCCTTGAATGATACCCATTATTACTTTCATTAGTTTGCTGAAAGTTGAAACATTGTGTATCAATGGGTGCTTGTAAATGAATGCTGGCATTGAACTTTTCAAACTCATTAATAATTCATCAAGTTAAAACAAAGAAAATCACAACCATGACGGAGGTTTGGATACTTGGTCTTAATTTGCATAGATTTTGATGATTTTACTTCTTTGTTTACTCCCTAGTTTTTGTTTTGATGGAGAAGATATATCAAACAAGACACGAGACAGTGTTTCATCGGCTATCCAAACACCTCAAATTTTGTCAAAAATACTCTGCTGCAGGTTGTAGTTTGAACATTCTTCTTGGTGTTTGGATATGCCATTGAAACACTGTCTCTCGTGTTTGATATATTACTTGAACAGCTGTAAGCATTTAGTACATATTACAGAACTTTTGTGCTGTGAGCTTGAATGAACAAAAATTCATGGACATATTCTCTAGAACATTGAAATGCAACTCTTGTTTCCATAACTTTGCCATTTTTTTACAATATAGATTATTTTTTATGAAGAGAAATTGTTTGGGAACTAACAAATGAAATTTCAATTAACACAGAGAAGAACAGTGCTATAGTGAAGCGACAAATTATTTTGACCACTTTTTAACTGATTATCTTACACTCTATACTATCATTCAAGGATCTAAAGTTTTCTCCAGTGGTGGATCAACAGAGGTCCTGCAGCATGCACCTTCCCCTCCCCTATGTGGGCATAACTTGATCAGAAGGGCCAAAAGTGTTTTGGTGACCCTTGAATGAAAATTTAAGGCCTGAAGATCAAGAGGCCACAAATGTTCATTCCCAAGGAGTGGACTTTCCATATGAAAAGGACAGGGTTGCTAGTCAGGAATTTTGAAAAGAATCCCAAAGAGGTGCCAAGATCCTGTTTTGTGGACGTTGCTTGGAATTTTTTTCACCCCTAGGAGGTGCCAATTCTAAAACAACATATTATATCCTGTCATATTATTTTCGGCTTAATCCTCTAAGAGACAAAGCAGAAGCTCCCGCTGTGGACCTTTTGAAGTTGAACTCCCTAAGAGCCACCAAAACCACTTTTTTAACCCCTAAAAGGTATGACAAGTGCCCCCATCCTTTTTCACCTCATAGTAGGTCTTGATCTGCTTGTAGGAGGTATCACTATACTGTATTCCAACCCTCACCTAGTTGGAGGCAGTAGTGATTAAAACCCAACTTCTCCTTAGAATTTCTAAACTAGGGGTGTACATGCTGGTTAGGGGAATTTAGGATCTCATCATCACTGGCTTTAATCCTAATAAATAAGAAATTTTCTTAACTGTATTATAAGAAATGCATGAAGATAGGCAAGGAAATTTTTGGTCTACTGCAGTGGAACCCCCTTAATACAGTCACCAATGGGCCACANGCATGATTTTGGACATGATTTTATCAGGAAGCTCATGTTTTGTTCTACTAGTTTCATAACAAGCAAGAGCACTGATGTGTGCTTTCAGAAAAGGCTGTCGTGTTTGTCAAATATTTCTTTCAACGTAATAAACATGTTCAGTTCCCTGTTTACGAACCACACAGCAAAAAGTAGGCAAACTTCAGTTTGCATACGTGTTGAACAACACATGCCCGATAACATGATACGTCCACAATGAAATTCTGACCTTGGTTTTAATTTGGTATTAATTTTGTGTTTGTCTTCCTTGAAGAAGACAGAAACTAGTTTGGCCTATTTCATTTTGTTTACTAGCCAAAGTGGCTAGTGGAAATTTAAAACCTACTAGCCAAAACTAAATTTCTATTAGTCTGTGGCTAGTTGGCTACTGTTAGTGTTGAGCCCTGATAGGGGTAGAAAAACAGAGAAAATTCTGCTTGGAAGAAGACGGTTATACCTGCATAATAACCAAATGGCTTCTCCCCATTCCAAAAATCTTTGTTGAGCATAACATGCCTTCAACAGCCCAGTTAATTTTCCAAAGAAATGACTTGGTGATAATTCTTTGTGACAGATGTCAACACATGTGGACGTAGACGGGGATTGTCCTCTGGCTATTGTCCCATGTCAGTACACCGACATTGGCTGTAAATTTAAGGTGAGAGCGACATGTTACAGATGTTACATACAGTTGAGCAGTTATTTTAACTACCGTAGCATATTCCAGCATAAACAACTTGAAAGTGAATCCTTAAATGAAAAGACAATGCAGATTAATCAGCTCAAAATGAGAGAGAGGATACAATTTTTTTCCAACATTAATATTGTTTTAATTTGTCAGGATCTGTTCTCAGTGCCAGAGTTGCAATTCTTTTGGTCAGTACCAGAGATCACACCTTTTGGTTGATTCTAATTCAAAAGCTTCTAATTTATGGTCTTCTTGTCACTCTGCTTAATCTGATTGGCTTACCACTGAGATTGAGCACTCTGCACTTGCTCAAGAAAATCGGAACTAGCCTGGCAGTTTTGATGCATGGTACTGACCAAAGATCCTGGCCTGAGGGGATGGATCCTGGCCTGGTTTCCTTAACAGTCTGTCTGTACTTGAATACTCTTGACTGAAGAGGGAGGCACATGTGACAGAAAACTACCTTGTCCAAGAGCACAATTCATTGATAACATCCAGAGCTCAAATCACGGCATATTAACCATCAGGGTACCATTCATCATGCAAGTTGTGTGGCAAAAAAAGTTTTTTTTCTTTTGATGGACACAGAGAATTTTCTTGCAGTATAGGAACTTGAAAATTGTTTGACATATATAGTGATTTGGTTTATTTATACTCATTATTCACTGATGTTCTTTTGTACAGGGACGGCGTAATGAGATGGAAAAACATGCTCAAGACAATATGCAAGTTCACTTGGATCTGGCCCACTTAAGAATAAGAGAACTTGAACAGAGACAGGAGTTTGTATGCACAAATGGAAAATTCCTGTGGAAGATCTCAAACTACTCACAATTATTTCAGCAATCTGCCACAAAGAAAGAGAAAGAAAAACTTTGCAGTCCTCCATTTTACACGGGACAGTATGGCTACAAGCTACGAGCGGAGGCTTTCCTTAATGGCCTTGGACAAGGGAAAGGAACACACCTGTCCCTTTACGTTGTCATTATGAAAGGAGAATATGATGCCATACTTCCATGGCCATTTCAACAGCGAGTGGACTTTGTTCTGATTGATCAAGATGATGACATGGCCGTACGACAGAATAAAGTTTGGAGGCTCACTTGTGATAGAGACAGTGATTACTTTAAGAGGCCAAACAAGGCGAAGAGTCTTGGATTTGGTTGCCCTAAGTTTGTTTCCTTGGATACACTCAGAACTAGAAACTATATCAGAGATAATACAATCTTCATAAGAATTGACGTGGAGCCACTGGATGCATCCTGAAAATACTAATTGATCTTCAGTATACAGCTTACTATTCATAACTTGCATGATGAATTTGTTATTTGCTTCTAGAAAACTGTTTCTGCAAATGTAAAGATGGTTGAGTGGTTGACAAAACAAAATTTAAAAAAATTTATGGGACGATAAGTATCTGTGTGAACTCTCCTGGAATTCTCCTGGATACAGACCAAATCTCCTGCTCTCCAATACAGGTCACCAGATCTCCCTGATATGAACTGGAAAGTGCTTGAAGTACCTTTTCACACCTAATGTGTCCTATTTTTGGCATTTCTGGGGTACATTTTTGGAACATTTGATGCTTGACTGAATTGATGATGCCAAACTGATGATAACAAACTAAGTTGTTAGTTTAGTGTCAAGAAAGTAAAATTGGCAGTCTCACATATTTCAATTTCTTTTAGGTTGTCATCTCTGTATAAGTTAATTTTTTCATGCTGTTATATCATTTTAAATTTCAGAAACAGTTTTCTTGTTACCTGGCATTTTGCCATACAAGACCATTACTAAGAATAACCTTGATATATGTCATTTAAATGATCTATTTTAACAAAGGGTAACATATTTGCAGGTCTACCTGCTAGTACTTACTTTATTTCCTTGAATGATACCCATTATTACTTTCATTAGTTTGCTGAAAGTTGAAACATTGTGTATCAATGGGTGCTTGTAAATGAATGCTGGCATTGAACTTTTCAAACTCATTAATAATTCATCAAGTTAAAACAAAGAAAATCACAACCATGACGGAGGTTTGGATACTTGGTCTTAATTTGCATAGATTTTGATGATTTTACTTCTTTGTTTACTCCCTAGTTTTTGTTTTGATGGAGAAGATATATCAAACAAGACACGAGACAGTGTTTCATCGGCTATCCAAACACCTCAAATTTTGTCAAAAATACTCTGCTGCAGGTTGTAGTTTGAACATTCTTCTTGGTGTTTGGATATGCCATTGAAACACTGTCTCTCGTGTTTGATATATTACTTGAACAGCTGTAAGCATTTAGTACATATTACAGAACTTTTGTGCTGTGAGCTTGAATGAACAAAAATTCATGGACATATTCTCTAGAACATTGAAATGCAACTCTTGTTTCCATAACTTTGCCATTTTTTTACAATATAGATTATTTTTTATGAAGAGAAATTGTTTGGGAACTAACAAATGAAATTTCAATTAACACAGAGAAGAACAGTGCTATAGTGAAGCGACAAATTATTTTGACCACTTTTTAACTGATTATCTTACACTCTATACTATCATTCAAGGATCTAAAGTTTTCTCCAGTGGTGGATCAACAGAGGTCCTGCAGCATGCACCTTCCCCTCCCCTATGTGGGCATAACTTGATCAGAAGGGCCAAAAGTGTTTTGGTGACCCTTGAATGAAAATTTAAGGCCTGAAGATCAAGAGGCCACAAATGTTCATTCCCAAGGAGTGGACTTTCCATATGAAAAGGACAGGGTTGCTAGTCAGGAATTTTGAAAAGAATCCCAAAGAGGTGCCAAGATCCTGTTTTGTGGACGTTGCTTGGAATTTTTTTCACCCCTAGGAGGTGCCAATTCTAAAACAACATATTATATCCTGTCATATTATTTTCGGCTTAATCCTCTAAGAGACAAAGCAGAAGCTCCCGCTGTGGACCTTTTGAAGTTGAACTCCCTAAGAGCCACCAAAACCACTTTTTTAACCCCTAAAAGGTATGACAAGTGCCCCCATCCTTTTTCACCTCATAGTAGGTCTTGATCTGCTTGTAGGAGGTATCACTATACTGTATTCCAACCCTCACCTAGTTGGAGGCAGTAGTGATTAAAACCCAACTTCTCCTTAGAATTTCTAAACTAGGGGTGTACATGCTGGTTAGGGGAATTTAGGATCTCATCATCACTGGCTTTAATCCTAATAAATAAGAAATTTTCTTAACTGTATTATAAGAAATGCATGAAGATAGGCAAGGAAATTTTTGGTCTACTGCAGTGGAACCCCCTTAATACAGTCACCAATGGGCCACAGAAATCTGGCTGTATTGACTGGGTGGCTGTATTAAAGGTGTTCTTTAAATTTAAGTTAATGACTGACTAAACTTTTGTTCAGGCCAGAATAAAGTGGCCGTAATAACGAGGTGGCCATATTAATGGGGTGGCCGTAAGGCAGGGTTCCATTCTATGTACCAAACCAGTGAAGTCAAAAAAGTATCCCTTGTAAGGGCTTTGTGTTGTCACACAACTGTAGCAATAAGGATTACGTGACCTCAAACATCTATTCACCTCATTTGTCATGTTTCTTTCTGCCATCAAAGGACATTTGAAATTTATTAGTTAATAACAGGACATTTTCAGTGGCATGACAACTGCCAAATGTATTGTTCAAAATTTATTTTTGTGATTCTAAAGAGATAAACTCATCACAGCAAATGCATTATTCAATTACTGTAAAAAAAACCTAAGTATGCACACTATAATATAAAGTATAAAGTATAAGGTATAAGGTATACGATGCATATGTATTATGTCATCTGCATAGTTGAGGCAAATAAAATCATATGGCCATTAATTAACATAAATAGTCATCTCTACAAATGATGAAACAACCATGATTTGCAAGACGTGAATGGGGGTTTTGAATAAAATGTGAATATAAATAGCTGTATAATTATGTAACAGGGTTTCCCTGTGCATGCTTTATGCCTGTTTTCCCTGGCTAGGCACCAGCTAAACAGAATTTTCATCCCATTTGATATACCGTAAATACGTCATTCATTATCCTAAGAGGGAATCCTTTCTTGACAGATTTCTTTACCCAGGTTGGAAGGGAGGAGCAGGGGGGGGGNGGAGGGATATACCGCTGGATCAGGGGTTGCATTTTTACAAGAAGAGTGACTATATTGAGGCTTCATTTTAACAGTTGGCTCATTTGGAACTTGAAAGAACATTTGGAAATATTGCTGGTTAACAAATTTACCAGTCTTTGAAGGTGAAGAACAAAGTGTACTACCATTTAGCAAATGTCTCAATTCAGTTTTGGGTAAGCATACCAGGCAAAGCTAGACCCAAGAACCCCAACCGCGCCCCCCCCGCCCCCCCCACCCCCTATGGTCCCCAAAGTGTAATGGTCACTTTTAGCCAAAGGGAACCAGGTGCAAAAAGCTCGGCAATGGGCTCTTATCTCACGTTCTGGTAAAATGTGTCAGACCTACACTAGGATTTACAAGAATTTTTATTCCAGTTGTGTGGTATGTATTTTGGGAATTAACAAATATATTGGATGTTTTGATCGCGCATAAAAAAATTTTTTTGCTTGTTTTGTATAGGCCCCTCTGCCCTGGGTCCTCCACCTATCCCCAACCTCCCCCCACCCCTTCCTTTTTACCTCCTCTGACAGGCTTTTCGGTCCGTCACAAAAATTAATTTTCAAAACTCCAGGGAAAGCAAAACCACAGGGTCAACTTTTTGTTCAAGTTGATAACCAAATGAGTGTTTCACTTGCGCGCCTGAGAACCACAGCAAATCCACGCACGAAACCCCGACACGCGAGAAGACGCGAGAATCCCGCGAAGTCCTCAGAGGCTTATGGGAAGTGAATCAGAGCCATGCGCAGTACTAGCACGAGGCTGTGGGACTTCCAAGATGTCAGCCAGTCGGCGAAAGAGATGTCGACTTAAAGTGCCAATATTTCCCTTATAGCATGTAAACCCGACCATGTCGGGAAATGTGCCGTTAGAGAGATGCTTCAAAGAAGCAGAGGAAACGGGAAGGCTCAATTTGAGCTTCAAGAACCTCCGGGATTTCCCAGATCCTACTGAGGATTGCGAGCTAATTGATGTCATTGAAATAGGTGAGCTTAGCTTAGCTTTGATGTAAGCTGAAAATATTAGACTCATGTTGCTCAAAAGTACTAGTGGACATAGAGATTGACTGCTTGCAATATCGCTGATGGTGAATTTTCTTGCTTGCAGACCTATCGAGAAACAAGCTCTCTGAATTCCCGGCAGAGTTATGCGACTTTGTTATGATCGAGAAAGTGGATTTATACCACAACGCGATACGGGGAGTTCCAGAATCGCAGATGAGTGAACTGAAATTTCTCCGAGTGTTAAACTTGAGGTGGGTATCCTAAACGGTAACAGATGATCATTTCTTTTAATTTTTTCCGAACTGAAATTCGAATAAGCGTTGTACTTTGATCGATAACTGTTGTTACGGATTGATAGGTTGCATTAATTGTCTAATCTCTGCAGGACTGTGCTTGTAGTTCCTTGATTTTAGTTGGTTTGATTACTTCGTCTTAAGAAGTATATTTTTCCTTTTCTATATATTATGACTTTTTGGCAATTTTTGTTTCTTCAAGGGAACATTTTGTTGTGAAATGTTTGTTTATTTTGGAAAGTTTATTAAAATACCGGTCATTGAATCGTAATATAGGGATCCAATACAGGTCAAACCTTGAGATATATAATTACTGATTTCAATAGCAAGGTCAGCGTGAAAGTGAAAATAAACTTTAATCTTTTAGATGACAAGAAAGATAATCTAACTTGTTGTGCATTCCTAGCAGAGATATCCTGCTGGGCATCCTTAAAGTATTTCATAAACATTTGGCAGTGCTTTGTTTTTATAGTTATAGCAAGGTTTTTGACATTTTTCTATCCTGTGAGGGGGAGAGGGAGGGTTGGTTGTAGTGGTAATGTTCTTGGTCATTTTCCATTCATCACAAAATTCTGGAAATTCCAGTGGGGATGTGGATTGTTTGGCTTGACTGGAAATTTTGTCAGACATATGGAACTTCTGAAAAGTGGAAAATGCTTTTCTCGGCACCACTGGGACCTAGGTATAGGTCAGGTGAACTTAGGTGGGAAGTTGTTTTTGTCGCACCCACCATTACTGACCCTGACCCACCCACTCCCCCACCGCAAGATTTTAAGTTAGTTCTGTTATATTTTCTGTCAGTCTGTATCTACAAACCTTTTGTAATTTCAAAATTTTCAGTACCTTTTGTTGAGTTTGCAGCGGTGGTCAGGTTGTACTGATCAGCTCAGCTTATCTTTTGGTGGTGTGTGAGGATTGAATTTAAGTCCTTGAAATGATTAAAAAACCAAGGTTTTAAATGTTAAGCTGGAAATCATTGTTTCCTAAAATGCCCTTGAAAATTGCTGTATTCATCTCTGATTCTCAAGTAGCATAAAAAGGAACATACTTCTGCCATTTCTGTCAGTATTGAAATAATTTTGATTTTTGACACTTAATAACCCTTGCTTTCTAAACTATTTATGTTATCTTAAAACTCAATATACCTGCCTAAAAGATGTACTAATCAGATGTCAATGAAATCATTGTGCCGTTTTCTTGCAGACGGAACCAGATCACCACTTTTCCCTCAGAACTCTGCTCTTTGCCTTTGCAAGTCTTAAACTTGAGTAACAACAAGCTCAGCTCCCTACCAGTAGAAATTGGACATTTAACTTTATTGCAAGATTTGGTGAGTATAGTTATCATTTATCTTTCAATTTTAATCTATAGCAGTAAACTAGGAAAGGTAGTTGTACATGTTAGGAATTTCATGGAAGGTGAAACAAAATTATTGTTATGTATTTTTTGCCATATCTAAAATATTAAATCAGAAGTTAGTTTAAATGTACCGATTTGTTGACGTTTTCTGCTGACAACCATTTGTAAGCACTTGTCTAGTTGAATATTGACAATTGACAGATGAAAAAGAAAATTTAATGAAGTTTTGAGAAATCTTTTTTCGTGTTTTAATATATTAATTGAAACTAATTATTTTTTTATTGTTATTATTTTTTGGCAGGATTTGAGTTCAAATGAATTAATCCACTTGCCCAGTAGCATGGGAGAAATGATTTCTTTAAAGGATTTAAACATTCGGAGGAATCGTTTAGAAGTTTTACCAGATGGTAAGTGCTG